ACTGGAAAAGGAACTGCATGGAGCTGCTGGGTAATCTTCTTTAGACTGAGTATGATGTATGATATAGCATATACTCCAGGCTTGTTCTTCACTAGTAGTTCTTGGTTGAATACTGGGGGATGGGGTGGGTGTTATTGCATTCCGGCATGAATGCCGGAATCAACAACAACAACGTCGTGACCGGAATCTGGAACTGCATGGAGATGCTGGGGAATCTTCTTTAAACTGAGTATGATGTATGATAGCATATACTCCAGGATTGTTCTTCACTAGKTCTTGGTTGAATACTGGGGGCTGGGGTTGGTGTTATGGCATTCCAGCACAAATGTCRGAAACAACTTCAATAMCGAAAGATACAGTACTTCCGGAGGAACAGGGGATGGATCCAGCTGGGGCAGACTAACACTACTAGCTGGTGGATATTGATATAATGGGAAGAGTCTTGGTTACATTGCTTGGTTGCTGCTTGAATGGAGCCAGGGAGGAGGATTTTCCCCTTCCGAAGGGGATGTCACCATGGTGGGGTCTTTGGAATTCAGAAGCCRGAAGGAGCTTGTCAGGTAGGAATGTACGTAAGAATCACCAGTATGAATTATAGGTGATAATTTTCATAAGCGAAGTGTAATTTTGTGCGTTTGAAAAATTTTGATTTGAAAATTATGAAATAAATCTAATCATAAATTCCACTCAACATGTAGTTAAAGCAAATTAGTGAGCAATGAGCTTGAGCAAGCAGGGACTTCTCCTCATTAGTACGCATTACACCATGTTGTTCCAAATTTTTGCCGTAGTTTTCTGTGGTGCTAGTAGTACTATCGGTTTTCTTGCATAACTTTTGTGGGAGTGATTGGTTTTTGTGCATACCCTTTGTGGGAGCCGTTGTAACTGGAATATACTGCAATGAAGATTAATGTCTTAAGTGCAAAGATGCAACAATGTGATGTCTGAATATATGAAGTAATGAGGATAAGGTATGATTCAACCAATGTATGTGATTGCCAATCAATGCATGTGAGTGCCAATCAATGCATGTGGTTTGAAGGTGAACCCGGTTTGTGGGATTACAATGTATGTTCTCAGTATTTCTAATCCTGTTTTTCATCTTTACTATGAGCAAAAGTGAGAACAACATGGTGTAATGTGTGCTAAAAAAAGCTTGTCTGCTATGAGTGCTTGTAATGCAGCTCATTATTTGTTTTTGCTTTACTAAATGCTGCTGGATAATACTGTAATTTAATTGTAGTTAACTCAGCTAATCAGAAGGTCGAAATTAGTTGCTTTCACCATGGGATTATTCACTGTCAGTATCAGTGTGTTGGCGCTTGTTACCAGTGAGAGCCATTGCAACAACCGTTGAGGGAATTTTTTGAGCCATGGTAAGCTAATGTTCATAACTTGGTTTTAATGGAATCTATTGTCCTGCCATACGGATAGCTCTGTCCATGTCTGTAAACCACCATGAGCCAGTCTCCCTTACCAATGGGAAGGATCTCCTTGATGACAGTCATCACCAAGATGAGCTCTTCTTCTGAGTAGTTTGCAGTACCAGCCTTACAACCAGACCACTCTGCTTTTGATTGACCTCCTGGGGGAGGGACTGCTGGAGGGACTGGTGCCGCTGGAGGACAGCGTCCCCCATTGCAAGGAGGAATGGCTGCATAAGGACCAGTACAAGCAGGCGGCATCTTGGCTATTGGAATGAATAGTATTGTGTGAGGGATCCTTCCACGAAGTCTCGTTGTCTCTGTCTCTTGAGACAAGAAGGCCTCCGGCAGGAGGGCCTCTCTTTGTTTTGATCTACAATATAGCAGAGCAGCAGTGACAAAGACAGGGGACATCTTTGTTTCTGTCTTTTATGTCTTCCTTCCATGGCGCTGGCGCTTTCTGATTAAGAGAAGGTTTAGTTACGTAGTAAAAATTTAAGTCTTAAATTTGGCGGGTCTTTTCAGTTGAGTCCTACAATGGATTTTCATTCTTGGATTCCAGTCTAGATTTAGACTTTCTKTCAAGGGTGGATCGTGTGTTGACAGAAAGTCTAAAAATTTGSACTAGATTGTCTATTTTTGGTCTGTCTGTCTGTCAAAAAGTAGACCATCTAGATTAACGGGAATCGCCCAATATGAAATTGAAAAAATCCCGGGGGGTAAAATTTTCTTATTCCTGCCACAGGGCCCTCCGGTACCCATGTGCACATCCCCCTTTTCGAATTCCTCCCCTAAAGAAACGTGGGTTTTTTTATTTGGAAAATAACCCACAAAAGAACCCAGGAACCCACAAATAACCCATGAAAGAACTCACAAATAACCCACAAATTTGCACTCATCTGGGTTGATGGAGA